TTTTGATCGTGCTTTTTAGGGTTTGGCTATGGTTATTTAATAATGTATTAAAATCACATAAATTATATTATATGTGTTTAATTTATTTGATATTTAATTAATTTATTAATTTTTTAAATAATTAATTTATAAGTATTAATTTATAAATTGATTTCATATTTTTTTATTTTAAGTTATGTAATGAAAACCAATTATCTTATATCTCTTAACTTAATTTTTTTCATATATTATAAGATTTAAATTTAAAATTTCTTAGTTATAATAAAATAAATTATCATTTAATTATTTAAATTATTAACTTAATTCTAATTTATTAAATAATAAATATTAACTTATTCTTAACTAAGAATGTGAGTTGAACAAAAGCAGGTTTCAAAAGCCATATCCCGTAGCGGCCTCTTAGCTTATTGTAATTCCCGCACTTTTAATTGAGGGCAGGATGTTGATTGATAGCTACTAGCCCTACTATACAATAGTTACCATGCACCATATTATTAGTTTTTGGTTAAATCTTTGATTTGATCTCTAAATTATTATATAAACTTTTAATTTGATTTTTAAATTAAAATTTTTTTGATTTAATTCATAAATTATTGTACAGACCTCGATTTGATCCTTATTGTTTACTAATTTACCCTAAATTGGCATTTTCATATAAAAAATAACCAAAGTGTTTCGTTATTAACGTGACACATGATCGTTAAGTAACTATTTTTTGTCTTTAAATAACAAACATGTTAGTTGTTTTTTGCATAGAATAATCAACTTGGGATAAATTACTAAACAGTAAGGACCAAATCGTGGTCTGTATAATAGTTCAGGGACTAAATAAGAGATTTTTTTAGTTTGAGGACTAAATAAGAGATTATACACTAGTTTAAGGACCAAATTAAAAATTTAACCTTAAATCTTTTTGGTTGTTGACTTTAAGGCGTACATTTGCTTGTTTTTCAGATTTCTAAACTCTCAATAATTGAAGTACTCTTCGAAGTAGTTTCAAGGATCACAACGAAGTTACAACCTTTCAATTCATTTTCAAATTGGGTTTTTCTAAAATAATGAATGTTCACCCTTAAGGCAAAATAATATTTACTTCACTTTTCTCTATTTTACTATTAACACAAAAAAAAAAAATGATAGTAATCATTGAAATTAACTTATTCTTTTTGTCAATTTTTCTCTTAATTATTAAGTACTAAGAGAAATATATATTAAAAAATTGATGGTAGATTTTTAAATACTATGAGCTTTACTAATAGAGTTGATTTAAATGAGAAAGAAAGAAAAAATATACACACCTTAAAAATATACTAAAAATGATAGTTAATTTATAAAAAAATATATTAAAAAGGAATGATAAACTTAGTAAATTTACTAAATTCACCATAATAACATTTTTTAGGTTATACAACATGAGATTATAGATTTATATTTTTTTCTTCTCAAACTCTTTGTAACGCATCTTTTAAATTTGAAAATTCGGATACAAAAGTTTTATCTCTTAATCAATGAGACATCTCTTATAAAATATTTATAATAATAAAAATTACAATTTTGAATCTTTGTGAATAATAATAAAAAAATCATAGGTTTTTTTTTTTAATAAAAAAATTCAAATAAACTGAAATTATTATGAGAATTTTGTTTTTTGTTTTTTTTTTTTTAAATATTGGCAACTTGGCGTGAGAAAAAAGCCGGAGCATATTTAATGAGATGATGAAAGAGACTCCATCTCTCGCAAGCCACAAGAATCATGCTTTTCCTTTGAGGGGGTTTGCTTTGCTTTCCCTTTGACCCACATTTGATTAATGTATGCACATGAATATGGATAGATTATGGCCAGATGGGTTTTGTCTTAAAGGCCTTCCCCTTCCAACCACCTTTTCTTCCCCCCTGCCCCCACAATCCCATCCCTTGCCACAGCATCCCATGATGTTCACTTGGCTCTACGTGGCACAACTGATACTGGGTCCTGCATTACTAGGACTCCAGTTCAGCCTCAGCCTCAGCCTCAGCCTCAGACATCGACCATCTTTTTCAGACCTTGTTCTATCATTTATGTCTGGTGTGCCTTACTATTATAGGACCAATGATTTTAAGTTCCCACAATAATGCAACACATTTTCTAATACAAATTTTGAATAAGGAAGAAATCACATGTGTTTTGATATGATTGGTTAATCCCATTTTCAATCCTTGTTTACTTAACATAATTAAGATTATCAGGCA